GTCGGCAGCAGCAGATGGTTTCGAATCCAGGAGGCAAGTTTTCGGTTTAGAGACAGAGACAACTAGGTTCATCGAGGTTCATCTTTTGTCACGCTTAACGTTTTCGCACGGTTGGATGATTAATACCTCCCTTATCTGCTTATATAGACATTGTCTCTTTGTTGATGTCGCTACAGTCAGTCCATCGATGAGATTGTCTTTGCATAGCCACATGCTACTTCTGTAAGATCTTCTAGTACCGTTTCTTGATTTTGCTGAGGGCGAAGCTTTGTTTTCTTCCTGGGTGCTTCATCACCACCAGTCGCTAACTTTCGTGCGCTGTCATCCATCTTCTCCAACTTGACACTTAGGTCTCTGTTCTTTGCATCGCGGTGTTCCCTGTTTCTCCTATGTAATATATCCACAGTTACATTGTAGCCTATAAACCCAGCCTAAAGAGTTATTATTCTCAGAATCATTTAATAATGCATTAAGTTCATTAGAGCTTTCACGCAAAACAATATTATATTTAGTGTTAAGTAACCTTTATAACATTTCATTTTTAATGATACGATAGAATTAAGTAAACGGCACCAACTCGTTTCACTGCACAGACCGCAGCAGCATCAAGGCTGAACTCTGAGTGCAGTTGACTGCTTGCAGACATTTATATATCCAGCAAAAGAACAATGCTAATTTTTCAGTTGCCTCATTACATACAGTCATGATGTTGTTACTTTTGACTGAGCAAAGTACGGTGTCCATCAAAATAAATCGGATCTTTGTCATTTTGACCTATCAGTTCACTGATTGCGCCCCAGCTTTCACTCATGACAGCAGATGTGCATTCGTTGCTCATCCGGCTTTTCATTACCCGAATCTTCAAGGATAGTCCCGACACACCAGGTGCTTAAATAAAATGAAACCTTTGCATGATTAAACGACTCCTAAGATCCAAGAACCCTGTTGGCAGTGCGACTTCCTGTAAGTGTGATACGATTGCTTGGATGAGTCATCCTCTACGGAATATTCGCGTGAACCAGCTCTATTTGACTGTCAAATCGTGAAAACTTTTATGATTATAAAAGAAAAGATTATCATAAATTTTTTGAATTAATTTAATTTCGAACGGCTGTCACTATTCTTTTTGAGTAGGAAT